AAAACCCACCTTTTCCGTTAGCTCAGAGCATAAAACTACATGTAAGCGCCCTGGTTCGTATTACCTACCTTATGCCCTGCCATCGCTGTGAAAAATACGCAAGAGAATCTCTCCGGCAACTCTCACCATTTGATCACGCAACGTGACAACATCCACGCGAGAGCCCCCGACATGTACGTGAATCCGCGCGGAAATATGACGTCTGGATGGCGCAATTTGTTCTAAAAATAGAAAAATTGTTCCATATCATAGGTGCGCGCGGATCCCAAGACTTACGGTCTCTGTCCCCGATTATGGCTCCTGTTCACAGTTATGGATAATCTTGCCTACGAGAATTATTAAAAGCCACCCAGTGTTTAATCATTTATTGCGTTTAAGGGAACCTGGACTAAAAAATACGGTTTTGTTCGAGATCACAAGTTGGTGTTTGAGTTAAAGTTTCTGTGATTTATAGTAGATAATTCTTAGCCTGTTTTAAATGCTGGGCGTCCCACTTCTGCTATTTTAGGATTTTAAATTTCCCGCGTTCCCCCAAGATTATTTTTGCAAAGCTTGATGGGAGATTATGACGTCATAGCGCGGTTGGACGTTTTTGAAATGCAGCATTGCGTGAATCATGAGATATAAAAGTGCTTCTTTACCGTTTAGAGTTCATATTTCGGATGAATTTGTACAGTTCCGACGAGAAATGTTCATCATGAGATCTCTGACCGCGCAATGACGTCATAATTTACGATAAAGTAAACATGGCGACGCCCAGGTGATTTAAACTAAAACTAAGCACTTCGTATTCAAACCACTCCCAGAGATACCAACTTAAATCCCCAGGATCAGTTAAAGAGAACCATTAGGTATATTTCGGAACTTAAACTGCTTTTCAGTTAAGATTTTCTTAAACTAACACCGTTGCATGCTCCCAGAATCCATTCTGGCCATGGGCTTTGCTGAGATCTGGTTTGCTCGGGCCAGTCTCACCGCAGTCTAGGAAACCCAAATATCTACGTCCTAATATTTATCCTAAGTTTAAACGTTCGGGTAGCTTTGATAGCAAATAGTAGGATGAAGGTTAAAGTAGAAACAAAGATGACTGATGATGAAAATCTGAAGTTTGAAGGTGTAATGTCGTCCTGTTTGTACTCCATTCGGTTCAACTTTCAAAGGTGTACGACTGCTTCTGTAGAAATTCTAGTGACTGCATTGAGGTGTACACCGTTTTGATTTGCTCTGGTGTCCACACCACAAAGGATCTGGTCATGGACGGAACAGGATCAATTATTGACGAGCAATCATGTATGTAATCTTCGGTACACGTGATTTCTAGGAAGTCGCAGATTTTCCGAAGGTGCTTCGGTGGGTCTCGAACAAAATCTTCGCCTATGATATCGAGGACTCTGTCTCCGAATGCTTCCTTTGTCGCCTGACAGTTCCTAGCGATACCGAAATATCGTTTTATACTGCTATCAATCTCCTTGGAAATGCTGTGCTGATAAATTCAAAAGATAATTAACACCATAAAATATATATGTATCTAACGGAGTTCGCAAAAACATGCCCGCATTGACTCAAAGACAGTCCCAGCCGCCAGAAGTGCTCTGACCACCCCCCTGGCTAGAAGATTGGCCAATCACGCATGCACGTGGCATGGGCCACTCCAGCAGGGTGCCATGTCAACACAGAAGCCTTAAACAAGGTCAAACAACCGAGTAAAATACCCAGAAACACAGTCAACATCAAGCTTATTTAACACTGAAAACTCAAATTCTAGCTAGTTGGGAATGTCAGTAAAAGACACCCTCCCCTCCCCGCTGCTTTTGACAGCTGGCCCCCAGCAAACCACCAGCAGATAGGCCAGTCATTGGGCCATGTGCCCAGCCTAGCCTTGACGGAGCCCCCCTCGGGTTTAAGGTCGCTGGCTTAGCCTGGATTCGGGCTTCGCCCGAATCCAGGCGAAAACCTAGCGGGCATGTTTTTGCGAATCCGCTTATATATATATGCTCTAGTTTACCTATTGAGCACTTAAGTAGCTGATGAAATCTTCAATTCATTATATTATTACATACATATATACATATATATATATATATGTATATGTATAGTTTAGTGTACGATGTGGCGAAGAGACAAACTCTTGACTGTTCTGGATGAGTTTAATGAACGACGTTTCGGCCGTTCGGCCTTCGTCAGGTTAAAAATTAAAAACTAAAAAGCTATTTACAATCAAGGTCAAATAAAGGACTATGGGTGACATGTGAATACATATTTGCCTTTGATTGTTTAATCCTTTTCACTTTGTAATTTAGACCTTTGTTGTATTACGTAACCTCAATCTTATTATTTCTGCTTTGTATATAAGTCGGTGTTTCTGTAAATCGCAACCATTGTAAATAGCTTTTTAGTTTTTAATTTTTAACCTGAAGAAGGCCGAACGGCCGAAACGTCGTTTATTAAACTCATCCAGAACAGTCAAGAGTTTGTCTCTTCGCTTACAGTTTCAAGATCTTTCTTTGAGACTCGCATCTATTAGCATGTACATATCACACACGCTATTTTTAAAACCGCTGCGCACCGCAAATGATCAACACTCGTAGCAGCACGTCTAGCTACAGCCCGACTTACGATCTTAGATCGTCTTCTTTGAGATTGAAATGCACTGTAGTTCTTCAAACATCACACTAAGCCGGTATTTGAGAGCCCTGCATTCCCAGGCAGTGTTAGTGATTAGGTTTTACTCAGTTTTACTCGAACAACCAGCTAACTTCTTACTCACCCATATGCCCAATGCAAATCCGAAATTAATGACGTAAAAAGAAGCAGAAAATTGTACAGCTAAGTCTACGATGCCAAAGACAAAGAGAACAAGCCCTAAAATGGTCTGTAAGATGGCAAGAACCCTCGACGTGCGATCCGACATGTTTATTCGGAGAGAAGATGCTTAGGTCACTGTTTATCAGGTCAAGAAAATAAAAGAGGGAGGGGAGGGTAAGGCTGGAATTACCATTACAAAGACATCTGTCAATCAATATTACGAAAGTCAGATAATATACCTCAGAAGGCCAATGCGATATATAAACGAAATATACAACTTATATTTAATGATTTATCTCGATTTTAAAAGCAGAATATGTTCAACAAAGGAATCAGTAGTCCAGTTTTGGTCTCCCTCTGTCACGCAACGGTGCGCTCTTGGGAGAGAGGGTGTCTTTCTCTCGAGAGCGTAGCGTTACGGATCGCAAGAAGACGATTGACCAAGAAAACTAGAACGAGGAGTCCCACATAAGTCTTTTCCACCAAAAAATAGGAATCCGCATACATGAAGTAGTAGACTGAGGTTACGCACCAGTCGAGATACAAGGAACGGTTCTATTCCTAAGCCAAAATATACCAAGATGTAGGACTAAAAATAAACCTACCTCGCGCACTTCGGGTGTGTGTTTCCTTATTCCTCGCGAGGTTTCTAGGCTGATTTATGGCGGATTCAATGTATCTTTGTTCGCAATTACATTATTCCATTTTTTCAGGGCGGTAGCCAGTTTTTGTCAGAGCTCAATTCCCCCGGGGAAGATGGGCGTCAGGAGCCCAGACATTTTCGACGTAGTTAAGCAAAGTCTCAAGAGTTCAACCTGTATGCTAATTTATCAAGAACGCTTTGGTCAACAGTTCGGCTATGTATCTGTGCAGCCACGTGTTGCAGACAAAGTACCTGTCTTAAATCCGGCTGTGAAATACTACTAGAGTGACCTAAAAATTGCGCCAATTAGGGAGACTGGGGGAGATTATCAAAACTTTATGTCATAGGAGTCTACGCAGAAAAACACATTTTGAGGACGCTGAAACAAGTTACAAGACCTATCTACTAAAGCAAGTTGTAATTTGATTTAATTTGAAAAGTTCGC